GCTGGGAGGGCCTTTGGAAACCGCCTAGATTATTTCCCTTAGTTTTATAGATGGAGCAATGGAGGCCCCTTAGAGGGGAAGGAATTTCCCCAAGATTACAGGCTAGTTAGTGCAGCAGCAAACCTAGAACCCAGGGCCACCAGAAGTAGCCCTGACACAGTTCTTTTCCACCCTCCTGGAGTTCTTCACTGGTGAATTTCCATTCTGGGGACTCTCTCTCCTCCTACCTTGGCTGACACCCCACCCACCTCCATTTCCACGGGGAACTGAAAGCGAGTTGGTGTCAGGAAGCTAGCTGTGACGCTTCCCCCTCCCCTGCTCCTCCTCATGGCGCTTCCACCACTTTCAGGGAAGGCACCAGCAGAATTTGCATCTAGTTCTTAATAAAGAACATATTTCAGGCTGTTATCTTCTGTCTTAGATAGAAAGGGAGGGGAGGGCGGTGAGGAGGTTGCAGAAGAGGGGAGAGGAGAGGAACCAGAAGATTTCTGACATATAAATGCCTATCTCCATATGGGCCCACGTCTCTTATCATCATAGAATCATTGAATTTTAAACCTAGTATAGAAAGGAGCTTAAAAAAAATAGAATATCAGAGCTAGAATGGATTTAGAACAGAGAATGTCAGACAGAGCTGGGATGGATTTAGAACAAGGAATGTCAGAGCTGAGGTGGATTCAGAACAAGGAATGTCGGAGCTGAAATGGATTTAGAATAGGGGATGTCAGGGCTGGGAAGGGCCTGAGAACAGGGAATGTCAGGGCAAGGAAGGAGCTTAGAACAGGGTATGTCAGAGCTGGGAGGGACCTCAGAACAGAGGATGTCAGGGCTGGGAGGGGCCTGAGAACAGGGAATGTCAGAACTAGCCCCTTCAATGTATAGTTTAGAAATCAAGTGTCAAAGAGGGGATCAACCAACCCTCAGTCCCTCAGCAAATTTTCAGGTATGCCCAGGCTGGTGCCCAGGTCCTGTCCTCCCAAGCCAAGGCTCTTTCTGCTCCTTCTTACTGCCCAATCCCTCCGGCACAGACCCATCTATGTTCTGAATGACTAGCTCACAGAGCAGAATGATGGTGGGTGGGCGGCTGGGGCACGGCAGCAGTGGGGCAGGCGGGTTTTCCTGTGGGGGCATGCTTGCAGGATGCAAGAAATGGGCTCAGCAGGATGGTTTTTTGCTCCCCAGGGTAGGAGGGAAAGCATGATCAACTGACCACAGAAGCATCTGTGTGTTCCCGTAGCTTTCTGGGAAAAACCCTCAAAGCCTGCGGGCCCCAGGCACCTTCTAAATATTTGCCTAGCATTAGAGGTGCTGAGATTGCTTTCCAGAGGCAGAGACCTGGACAAACAGGCAGCTGGCCACGTGGGCACGTCAGCAGCTTGTTTCTGGGAGGGGAGCTCCCAGCTGCGCAGGCCTGCTGGCCTGCGTGGGTGACAGAAGGGCTGAAACCCTGTAAACAGAAGCCGGATTTCACTTTCTGGGCCTCCCCCTCAAGGCTGAGTTGAGGGATCTAGCAGTCTTTGAGAGCACCATCCCTCCTAAGCCTCCACTGAGCCCCATCTACCCCTGAAACCCACCTAAGCCGGCAAACCTTCATCTCTCCAGGGGATCAGTGTAAGAACACCGTTCATTTATTGTTCTGCTGCATACAAAGGGCACCTCACACGAACCCTGGCAAGTGAGGGCTTGGAAGCAGAGTGGTAAAAAGGGGACGAATAGGGTCTAGACTCGAGTTCCAAGGCCAGCTCTTCCACTAAACAGTTGTATGACGTTCATGTCTCTGAGCCTCAGTTTCCTTATGTGTGAAATGATGGGGGAATTGGCTGTATGATTTCTCAGGCCCCTCCCAGCCCTGACATCCCCTGTTCTAAGCTCCCTCTCAGCTCTGACATTCCCTGTTCTAAGGCCCCTCCCAGTCTTGACATTCCCTGTTCTAAGGCCCCTCCCAGCTCTGCCTTTCTCTGTTCTAAGGCCCTTCTAGCTCTGACATTCCCTGTTCTAAGGCCCCTCCCAGCTCTGACATTTCATGAATCACTTCATCTGTCTGAGTCTGAAAGTGTAGGCAAACCCAAAGTTCCCTCAGGAGTCCCTGATCAGCCCCAGGGGCAGCCCAAGTCCTGCTAACAGGGCCCTCTCTAGTTAGAGCTGAAACACGGTCAAGCTCCCACCTCTCTTTTCTCTCCCCGGAGCAGAATCTCTTTGACAGCATTAAGAGTGAGCCCTTCTCCATCCCAGAAGACGATGGGAATGACCTTACTCACACCTTCTTCAATCCGGACCGGGAAGGCTGGCTCCTCAAACTGGGTGAGAGCAATGTCCTCCCCCCACTCCACCCCCTGCCTTGCTTCTCCCTGGTGCTTCCTTCCAATGCCCCCTTCCACCTGGGTACCTCCCATCACCCTAAAAACCTACCAGCAAATCCCCTTAGCCTGGCTCAAAGGCAGTGTGGTATACTGTAAAGAGACTTTGGTGTCTGAGGACCTGAGTTCAAATCCCACCTCTGAAACCTGCTGTGTGACCTTAGGCAATTCACCTTCCTTCTCTGGACTTCAGTTTCCCCTGTAAAATGAGCGGGTTGACCCAGATGGCCTCTGAGGTCCCTTCCTGCTCTACAGCCAGGAGACTAGACTTTTTCTCCTATCCAGACACAGTCAGAGGAAATTTTCCAATTGCTCTAAATTCAAATCTGCTGTGTATAGCATCCTGTGTTCTAACCTGGGGAAGGTACAAGAGCCCCTAAAGGAGATGGGATAAAAGCAGAAAAAGCACTTGCTCTGAATCAGAGGACCCGGGTTCCTGTGCTGATGTTGCTTTCTGTATGACCCTGGACAAGTCACTTACTTCTCTGAGCTCTAAAATCTAAAAGCTGTCTAGAAGGAGGTGATTGGGCTATGATCTCTAAAGTCCATGAAGCTATGGTCCTATGGATGGTTTTGGAGTTTAGAGACCAATAGGGAGATGAGATGCCAATGCCAATGCAAATAACTATTAGTACCGAATGGATACTAGATCGTGGAGCAGAATGTTCTGTAACGTCTGAAGGAGAAGGTCACAGCTGCCCCAAGGAATCAGTAAAGGCTTCCTAAATGAGGTGTATAGATGATGGTGAATATTAGAGTCTTGTCGAGTTGTTTTTTCAGTTGTGCCTGACTCTTCATGATCCCATCTGAGGTTTTCTTGGCAGAGATGCTGGAGTGGTTTGTCGTTTTCTTCTCCAGTTCATTTTACCAATGAGGAAACTGAGGCAGAGTTGAGTGACTTGCCCAGGACCACACAGCTAGTAAGTGTGTCTGAAGCCAGATTTGAACTCAGGTCTTCCTGACTTCAGACCTGGCACCACCTAGCTGCCCTATTAAATTCTTACTAAGGTGTGAATGACTGGTTGAAAGGGCTCTCCTAAGGAGCAAGGCTGGATTAAGAAGAAGCAAGGTTTCCTTATGGGTCTATAGCCAGAGCCATAACTAAGGAGAGGTTACTGAAGCTTTGATCCAGGGCACTGAAATTTAGAAACCACTGCCACCCATCATGAGCTTCTCCCTAGCATTCTCCACCCTGCTCCTGGCTTCATTCCCCAGCCCTAGCAGCAGATTGAGGATATATTAGGGTCTTCACCTGAGCTGTCCTGGGTGCATGGGGAAGGTGTCTCTCCTCCACTTGAATTTGTCTTTAAAAGTTGACTTGAGGTCATGTTTATGAAAACCACAGCTGCTCTTTGCAGCAGATTAATGCCATCACACCATGGCCTGGGGAGGGGCTGTCCTGCTTAGCCTCAGTGACCAGAGAGGTGACCACAGCTATGTGAAGCTCAACACAGGTTGCCTTCCCATGCTTCATTCCTCAGCAGCCCCTGGGCAACATTCTGGGTTCAGAAGAAGATGGGGAAGGAAGGCTGGAAGCAGGAGAGCCCTGGGGTCTGGGGAAGAAGGGAGAAGACAAGTGAGGGGGAAGGAAGAAAAGCTGGAGACCAACTTCAGATTACTGACAGTGGTGCAGCTGAGAACAGTGTGTATCAGTCTGGTTGTTTGTGTAGGTGTGATGCGTTTTTGTTTCTGCTGATTTTGTAGGTCAGGGGTAAAGGGAAAAGAAATGGAAGGGAAAGGAAAGAAAGAGGAAGGAGAGTGAGAGGAAGAGAGAGGAGGAGGGGAAAAGAGGTGGGGGAAATAGAGGAGGTGAGAAGGGAGGGAAGAAGGGAGAAAGAGAGAAAAAAGAAAGAAAGAAGAGAATGAGGAAAGGGAAGGAGGAGCATAAATAGAGGAGAAAGAAAAAAGGGAATGAGATAGAGTAGGGGATAGAGGAAGAAAAAAGAGGAAATAGGAGAGAGAAGAAAAGGAAAGAGGGAAAAGAGAGAAGAGAATGGAAAGAGAAAGACAGGAAAAGGAGAGATAGAGAAGGAAAGAAAGAGTAAAAGAGAGAAAAAAGGAGAAGAAATAGGAAATAGAAAATACAGAAAAGAGAAAAAGATAGGGGAAAGAGAGAAGGAGGAAGGAGGAACATAAAGATGCAAGAGGGAGAGGGTAAGGAGAAGGAAAAGGAGGGGAGAAGGGAGAGAGGGGCAGGGACAGAGAAGTTAAAAAAGGAGGGAAGGGGGGCAGCTAGGTGGCGCAGTGGATAGAGCACCAGCCCTGGAGTCAGGAGGACCTGGGTTCAAATCCAGCCTCAGACACATAACACTCACTAGCTATGTGACCCTGGGCAAGTCACTTAGCCCCAATTGCCTAAAATTTTTTTAAAAAAAAAGAAAAGAAAATAGGAGGGAAGGAAGAGAGACAGACAGGACACACAGAGAGAGAAGTGAAAGCAGGAACCAGGGAGAGAATAAAAAGGGAAAGGAGGGAAAAGGAGAGAGGAGAGGCAGAGAAAGGAAACTGAGAAGAAACTTAGGAAGAGGAGAAATCAAGGAAGAGGAGGAAGAGAGGGAGGGGGAGTGGGCAGATAGGAAAGAAAGGAGGAAGTGATAGAGAGAAGAGATGAAGAAAGAAAGAGAGAGAGAAGGGAAAGAAAAGAAATAGGGAGAGAGGAACTCTTTGAGAAAAAGAGGAAGAAGATAAGGAAGGAGGAGAAAGGAGAGAGATGGAAGATCTCAGACTGTGCAGTAGACTTCCATCTCAGGCTGGAGATGAGTGCGGTCTCCTTCTAGCTGCTGCTGCTACATGCTAAGGCTGACACCTGGTGTTCTGCTGGGAGTTGCCCTTCTCTTCCCTTGGGGCTCCAGTCTCTCCCCCTGCTCTGAGGCTCTTTCCTGTCCCTCCAGGCTCTGTCACTTTCCATCTGCCTGGGGAAGAGCTGTGTGTAGTAAGAACTGGTCAGAGGCCTCCATCCCTCACTGTTGGGGTAGATAAGGGCCCTCAGGACGTGCTGGCAGGGGGTGGGAAGCCATCACCTTCAGCTGGTTAGGAGCTGGAGGCAAATTCCAAATGCCCAGGTCTTGGCCTTTTGGCAGGGAAGAGGGTTCTCAAAAGACAGCTCCGTGGTCCCCTCCCCAGGTCTGGGAGGAAGTTTCAGGACCGCCCACATCTCACCTGCCTTTTGTTTCCTCTCCAGGTGGAAGGGTAAAGACTTGGAAACGCCGTTGGTTCATCCTGACAGATAACTGCCTCTACTACTTTGAGTTCACCACAGTAAGCCCTTCACCTAATGGTAAAGCCTATCCCCAGACTCCTCCCCCCAGACCACGATGGTACCTGGCAATTTCATCCTGGTGCCAGTCAGAGGGGAGGAAGCACATCATTCCAGGCACGGAGGACAGCTCGAGATGGGAGGTGGAATATTGGAGTCCAAACCCTGCAGGGAGGCCTAAATAGTTGGAACACAGAGTCCATGGAGGGAAGTAAAGGCACGAAAGGGCCAGGGTGTGAAAGGCCTTAAATGCCAAATCGAGGACATTATACTAAATCCTGGAGGAGCTCATTGAGGAAGGAGGAGAGGGAGGAAATCGGGTCAGACTTAATTCTTTTTTAAAAATCACGTTGGCAACTGGGTGGAGGGTGGATTGCAGTGGGGAGAGTAGCAAAGGGTCCAGAAGAGAGCCACATAAGGCTGGATCCAGAGATCAGGAAATCATCTGTCTGAGATGATAATGACTAAACCCATGGGGGTTGATGAAATCAGTGAATAACAAAATAGAAAGTGAAAAGAAAAAAGGGTTGGAGCAGAGCCTTGAAGGGCACCCACAGATAGGGGGCATGAGAAAGATGAGAAGCTAACAAAGGAAACGGAGGAGGAGGGGTCAGACAGATGGGAGGAGAAACGGAGAGACACAAGAAGATGAGACAGAGAGGCAAAGGCAGGGGTGGGGAACCTGTGCCCTGGAGGCTATGTGTGGCCCTCTAGGTCCTCAAGTGCAGCCCTTTGACTGAATCCAAACTTCACAGAACAAATCCCCTTAATAAAAGGATTTGTTCTGTAAAACTTGGACTCAATCAAAAGGCCACACCCGAGGACCTAGAAGGCCACATATGGCCTCCAGGTCATAGGTTCCCCACCCTGGGCAAAGGATAAAGGACTACAGTTTACATCAGTGTATACACTGACTCACTATTGAATCCAGGAAGTATCTCAGTTGGGTGGCTGGGGAGGATGCAAATTAACTGAAATTTTAGGTTTCTAAATTATCTTAACTACATTATTGCTTTTAATCCTCACAATAATCCTGGTAAGAAGGTGCTAGCTACTCTTAACCCCATTTTATAGATAAATAAACTGAGGATCAGAGGAGAAGTGACTTGCCAAAGGTCACACAGCTAGTAAACGTCAGAGGTGGGATTTACCCCGTCTCACCCTGATTTCAGGGTCAGCATTCTATTCATTCCTCTACTGTGCCTCTAAACTGAGACCCGATGGGGTTAAGGAGTTTGCCTAAGGTTTTCACGTTCTTCTTCTGTACACCTTAGTGAATTAACTAATCAACGAGTTAATTAATTAAAAAGTATTTATTAAGCACCTACTGTATTCTAGGCACTATGCCAGGTCCTGAAGATACAAACACAGAGGCTAGACACTGCCTTCCCTCTGGGAGTTTGCATACTATCATGGGAGAGTATTTCTGCAGGTCAATCAATAAAAGCATTTATTAGGTGCCTACTATGTGCTAAGTACTGGGGACACTAAAACAAAGGTTAGCCAGTCTCTTCCCTCAAAGAGCTTACATTCTAATTGGGAAGAGAATCCATATGAGGAAGTGGTGACTGACAAAGGGGAATTTTTGTCTGGGGGCTTTCAGGGTTAGGAACCTTAAAGCAGGTGAATGCCACACCTTTCCAACAGCCATGGTACAATTGATTTGATTACTGCTCATCCAAGAGGCAGCATGAATAAGGCATTGGACTTGGATTCAGAAAAGCCTGGATTCAAATCCTACCTCTCACACTAGCTTTTCGACCTTGGGCAAGGCTCTTCCCTGCTGCCTGCCTCAGTTTCTTCATCTGTAAAATAAGGGGATTGGGCTTGATGGCCTTCCATCTTTCAGTTTATGATCCTCCTTACCACCCACCTACCAACTGTCTAGCAGTAGCCACTATGTAGGAAAAAAGGGGGGAAAGTTGGGGGAAGATAGCATCTCCTAGCTTTTCAGCCCACAAACTCCCCACCAGGTTTTCTCCTCTATCCTTGCAAAAGGTTCTACTATGACCTAGGATGAGATCAGGATACCTGTCTACTCTCCCTTTTCTTTCCTCCCTGGTATTATTGGTACCCACAGCCCAAGCAAGATTATTCTTGCTTTCTTTTCCAGGATAAGGAACCCCGGGGCATCATCCCGTTGGAGGATCTCTGTGTCCAAAAGGTGGATGACCCCAAAAAGCCGGTAGGTTTGGGGGTGCTGAAAGAGGAACTGCAGGGGTTATTTAGCAGAATAGTTGAACAAATTCTTTCCTACTTTTCTAAAAACTTCCTCAAACTCACGTTCTTACTTGATCTTTACTTTTTATTTTTGGCTGTTTTTTTTTAATTTTATTTTCAAAACCTTGCCTCCTTCCTCTAGGACCTAACTATCCCCTCTTTCCCCTTTCTCTCTCCCTCTCCCTCCCTCTCTCTCTCTCCCCTCTCTTCTCTCTCCCTCCTTCCCCAATGATTCTTTCCCATATGCCTACAAATATTGCAATAACCCATTGAACACAAAGTTTTCCTGTCCCTCGTACACCTCCCCCCACCCAGCTTTACTGCCAAACATCCTGAAAAAGTTGTTTAAACCCAAAGCCTCCACTTCCTCCTAGAATCTCGCTGGAAGATCTTGAACTTAAAGGCCTTCTAGCCCAGAGGAACTTAACCCGGGGTCTATGAATTTTAAAAAAGAAAGAAAACTGTATTTCAGTAGAATTGGTTTCCTTTATGGTCATTTGTATTTTATTTTATGCACTTAAAAAACGTGATTCTGAGAAGGGTGTGCAGGCTTCACCAGACTATCTGCCTACAGAGTCTATGACACTGAAGAATCCCTGACCTCAGATAAAATGGCATCAGCCTGGCATTGAAAGCCATTCACAAGCCGTTCTCTGCAGCCTAATTTGATAGTGTCGTGGCTGCAAAGCTGCGATCCCCCAGTGCCAGGGGGATGGCCAGAGCAGTTCTAGTCAAACTAGACTATTGCCTTCCACCTCCAGGTGGAAGGCTGGGAATCCCTGGCTCCCTTCACGGACAGCTCAGCTGACACCTCTTCTGTGAGGCCTGTCTTGATCCCTACCCCCTAGTCATTGCTGCTCTGCCTCACTACAAGAAATTACTTTGTATACTTTTGAATCACACACACACACACACACACACACAGGTTCAGAGGACAATATATACATAAATATATATGCAAAAGTGAACCTATAATTTATATTCATATATTCATAATATATAGTATACGTAATATATTCATAATATATACATATTATATAATGTATTCACTATATATACATAATATATTATATATGTACATTATATAATATATTCACAATATATACATATTAAATATATTATATATTCTATACATTCACTATATATTATATTATATATTTAAACATATATACATATATTTGTATATATTCACCATATACATGCATATATTTATTTATTTATTCACTTGTCCGTGTAACTATTGTCCCCCTCCCAATAAATGTAAGTTGTTTGAGGTCAGGAATTATTTCATTTCTATTTTTGTACCCTTAAGATCTGGTAAATAGTAGATACAAGGATGCACCATGGAAAAACAGGGGAAAAAATCACTGATTCTGGAATCAGAAGACCAGGATTCAAATCCTGCTTCTGATATTTAATTATTTGTGTGACCCTGGGCAGCCACTTCAGGTCCCTGAACTTCTGTTTCCTTCCTTGTAAAATGAGGGAGGTGATCAAGATAGCCCCTGCGGGTCCTTTGGGCTCTACAGTTGTGATGCTAATCAATGCTTGTTGAATTGAATCCCTCAGGGGCCAGTCCGGTCCATTTCAGTTGGCTATCCAGCTTCCTTGGAAGATCTCCCGTGATGGGGAGGGAGCTCCCCACCTGGTTCCTCCTGGCCTCACCCTTTCCCCTTCTCCTCTTTTCAGTATTGCCTGGAGCTCTATAATCCCAACTGCAAAGGCCAGAAGATCAAAGCTTGCAAGACAGACGGGGATGGGAAGGTCGTAGAAGGGAAACACCAATCCTACAAGATCTCTGCCTCGAGCCCTGAAGAAAGGGATGAATGGATCAAGGCCATAAGGTATGGTCAAGGGATAGAAAGGTTGAGGTTGGGAAAGGAGTGGTCCTGGAGTAGGTTTCTCCCTACTTGGTTCTTCAGAGCCTGACCTCTCTCCATCTGCCCAATCTTCACAGAGCTTCCTCAAAGTTAGGAGATCAAACAGGGCCATTCTGACCATCCTCCTACCATCAGTCACAAAAGCATCTTAATGACAACAATTTCTCCCCTTTCTTAAAATCTCAACTTAGGGAGACAGTATGGTACAATGGGTAGCTAAGTGGTTCAGTGGATGGAGTGCCGGGCCTGGACTCAGGAAGACCCATCTTCTGAAGTTCAGATCTCACCTCACTTACTAGTTATGTGACCCTGGGCAAGTCACTCAACCCTGTTTGCCTCAGTTTCCTCATCTGGAAAATGAGCTGGAGAAGGAGATGGCAAATCATTCTAGTATCTTTGCCAAGAAAACCTTAAATGGGATCACAGAGTCAGACGTGACTAAAACAACTGAACAACAGCATGGTACGATGGAAGGAGAATTGAATTTGGAATTAGAAGACCTGGGCAAATCACGTTAACTCCTTGCGCCTTAAAAGGAGGGTATTGGGCAGATGGCACCTGAGGGCTCTTCCGGCCCTAGACCTGGTATGCTCTGACCTTGCTGATCTTGAGCCTCTCTGATAAAGCAGCTCCCTCCACCCCCAGCCCTGACAGCTCCTTACTTGTCTTCTTTTCACTTCCCAGGGCCAGCATCACCCGTGTTCCATTCTGTAACCTGCTCTCTGCTAGAAAAAAGAAGATCACCAGCAAACAATGAGCAACCATTGGGTTGCTAGTTTATCCTTTGTGGACTGAAGTGACCTGTGATTCCAGCACTCCCTGGAAACAACCACCGGCCTTACTCCCATCCTTTGCAGGGACCTCTCCTACCTCAGCCTCCCCCATCCCATCTTCCCACAGGCTCCTCTGGAGATGAAAGGAGTAGAAGCAGAAAGAGAGAGATGAGTGGGGAATCAAGGAAAGAAGCCAGTGTAGTGGGAGCCAGTCTCTCCTTTTTTGGCCTTGATCTCCTTTGGGATTGGCAAAGGAGGGCTATGATAGAATCGTGGCCTAGTAGCGCTCATCCACATTGGCCTGAAGAGGTTGGAAAAGCTCTGTACCCCAGTCCCCATTCTCTGGTCCATCCTCTCTTTGGGGGTCTACTGCAACAAGGGTAGTAGCATTGGGCAAGCAGGAGGCTGGGAAGCCCCAGATGGGGGTCTTGGGGGCACTCAGGAATGGTCATAGGGCTCTGAGCCCAAGAGATATAGCAAGTTGGGCAGAGCAGCCAGGGCGGTGCACCCCATTGGGTAGGGAGTCCTCTTGGAAGAGCTCCATCTCCACTTCTGATGTTTACTATCCATGTGACGTTGGACCAGTTAACTGATCTCTCCGAGCATAAATGCACTCATCTGTAAAAGGAAGGAGATGCACCAAGTGACCCCTGAGGTCCCTTCCAGCTTAAGGTCTATAATCCTATGTGTGCCCATGACCACAACCTTCTGCATGTAGTCAGGGCTCGGCCTCGAAGCCCCATCACTAATTCCACACTAATTTCCCATCCCCAGCTGAAGGGGCCACAGAAAAACTGAGGACACAAGTCTACTGACTCCCCAGCATTTGAAGGGCCTTGCAGTCAAAGTCAAGAAGGAGGCACAGACACTCTTGTACCCCACCCTGTGTGTCTGAGATGCAAGAAAAGGAAGAAGGACAGGGTGCCCCACCCCCAACTGACAATCAAATTGGGCAGCCAACCTCCAGCTGGGCACAGCCAGCAACAACAGAAGACAAAATATCCCACCTCCAAATGTTTGCAGAATGGGGACTTTTTTAAAGGACCAAGCACACTCCACCCTCTGCCTCATAGAGGTAGATGAAGAAAACACTTTGGAAACTGTAAATCAATGCAGAAATGTCAGTTCAACTAACATTGATTAAAGGGCTAACTTATGTAGAGCTGTGGACTAGTTGTTGGGGGAAGACATGGAGCTTAGCTAAGACGTGGCCCTACCCGAATACAGAGGGATCTATAGTACACATAATTACATCCCATAAGATGTAATATCACTAAGTTAGTAATTTGAAAAGGCAGCATTGTTCAGTGGGGAAAGCAATGAGTTTGGTCAAAGTCCCCAGGTTCAAATCAATCAAATCAACAAGCATTTAGTAAAGACCTACTATGTGCCCAGTACTGTACTAGGTGCTGTGGATGCAGAGACAGAAATGGAATTCTTCTTCCCCTCAACGTGTTTCCATACTGTTGGAGAAGACTGCATAAATCTGACCAAGTATTTAGTTACTTCTGCTGCAAGCCAGGCACCAGAGGAGACTAAGACAAAATCAGCAACCCTCTCTCCCCTCAAGTAATTCATGTTCTAGTAGGAGAGACAATATGCACATATACCAGACACCTATATAGGTACATAGAAAGCTGCTGCTTTACTATCAGTGCAACCTTTGACAAATCATGTAACCACCTTGAGCCTCAGTTTCCCCCTAAGTAAAATGAGGGAATTGGACTAGATGGTCTCTGGTCCCTTTTGGCTTTAAATACATGATCCTATAAGCATCTTCAAGAGGTGCTATGTGAGGTCCAAGGTGAGAAAGGCCATTATGAACCTGGAAGAGAGGGAGGTGGAGATGGAAAGGTGACAGAGAAGCCTTCCCCGGCGGAGGTGGCAGAAAGGATGAATAGGAATTCTACAGAGCAACAGGGACTAGAGAGGTCTTTCTAAGCATGAGGAAGGGGCATTTGAGAGAATCAGGATCCCCAAAACTAATCAAAGAAACTCCTTCTGTTAGGCACCTCCCTCAGGAGGCCAACTGGGCTGGGTGAAGTAAGCAAGAGAAAGATGGCAGGGGACTCTCTGGAAGCTCAAAGCCATGAGGGGAAGAATCACAATTGCCACTTACTTATAACAGAAATTATAGGGAAGAACAAGTACTCTTTATCAATTGTTTTATATACATTACCTCCTTTGATCCACTGTGAAGTGGGCAGGGCAAGTATCATCTCTCCCATTTTACAGATGATGAAACTGACATCCATTTGGTGCAGTGACTCAAATAAGGTCACACTGTCAGTGAGGAAAAAAAACCTTACTATGTCTACTATAATTTATTTCCTGCCACCATGCCTTTGCTTAGGCTGTCCCCTAGCCCTGGGGTGCCCTCTCTTCCACTCTTTTCCTTTTGAATTCCAGAGTTTGGAATTTTTGCTCCAGCAGAAAACAGCAGGAAAGGTACCATAGGCTGGTTGTGGAGCAAAGCCAATACGCTACTCCATGGAGAGGAAGCAGAGACACTGGGCTCTTGGTAAAGATTTCATGGAGTAAGGAAATTGTGAGGATCAAAATGGGCCATGGAAGGAATATACTCCAAGAAATATCATCAGCACCCTCTAAATTCGAAACCCTAGGACAAAGCCTCAGTCACCCTATCTTTGTTTAATTCCTAAAAGCCAACCTGAATGTCACCTCCTCTAGGAGGCCTTCCATGGGTTCCCCAAGTTGGAAATGTCTTCACATAACTGTTTTATGCATTGAGGGCAGGGAAGGAGTGAGAGCAGATGAATTAGATCAGTGATTTCATTTATAGGAGGAGCTCCAGGTGAGGAAACTCCCTCCCCCAGATGCCTAAAATTGCCTAGGGCACTAAGGAGTTTAAGGGACTTGCCCAAAGTCACCGAGCCTGTACTTGTCAGGGATTAGATTTGAACCCAGAACTTCCTGACTACCAAGCCTGCATGTATTATTGTGCATTTCTTCCCTTCTCTTTTGGGGACAAAGCCCACCTCCAACCTGCTAGCGTGTCCACCGGGGGGTTTGCTCCTGAGTCCATGACATCTCCAGTACTGGGCAGCAGCCCTCCAGAGAGTTGAGGAGGGTGGTCTGTGCCCTGAGTCAGTAACAGACACTTTGTTACTACTTGCCCTTGGCTGGAGAGTGAAGGTCTGATGCCCTGCTTTTGCCATGTCTCACTGTATATTCGGATCTGCCCTCTGTCTTCCTGCACCCACCATAGGCTCTGAACCAGCAGACACCCTGTTTGTCATATTTTATCAACAAAGAAACTGGTGCCCAGAGAGGAAGGGGAGCCTCCAAAGACCCAGGGCTGACTTTGTTTACAGGATTCAGCTCAAAAGTCACTCCCATCTGGAAGCATCATCCCTGACCTCTCTCCCCAGGATCCTGGAAAAGGGAGATTTGGCCCCAGTGCCCCAGCTGCTCCTGGGAGAATCCTAGAGGTGAGATAGGCTGAGACTGGGAGGAGCAGGCGCCAGAGAGGAGCTTCCCCCAGGCCTCCCCTGCATTCTTCCATTTCTCATGCTCCCTCCCTCTGCTTTACTCCTTTCCTGGCTCCCTCTGACCTCCCTCCACCACCTTCTGTCTCTCTCAGGCAGCCTGCCCCCCTACCCTTGCCTATTTCTCTACGTTCCTCTCTCTGGCCTGCAGGGGGCTCCAACCACAAGCAAATATAAGGTTCAGAGCAGCCCAAGCACTGAGGATTGCTTGATACATCCCAGGCACCAGAGGGGGACTCTTACTAACTGAGCCTCTGCCCTGGAGAGTCCAGGTATAATGAGGAAGACAGAACTTGCCCACATGGAGAATAACCAAGAAAATACCTAAGAAAAAACAAACACAGCACAGATGCCAGAAAGGCAGGGTAGTGTAGTGGAAAGAGACAGATATGAGATCAGAAAACCCAAGTTCAAATCCTACTACCTGGTGTCTGTGGGACTTTGGGCAGGTTTTCCCTCTCTGGTCCTCAGTTTCATTTAGTATAAAATGAAGGAGTTTGGCCACATGTCCCGTGAAGGTCTCCACCACCTCTAGACTCAGAATGCTAAAAATCTCGGGAGTGGAATGACTCTTGGAGGTCATCTGCCCCAGCTGCCCACCTAGAGCAATAGCCTCTGTAACATATCTGATGAGAGTGGGAGCTTGAGGCAGGAATCCAGACTCCACATGAAAACTACTAGTGCCAGGGAGCTCACTATCTTATCTATTGCTGGGACAGCACTAGGATTGGGGTGCAGGAGGGGAGTGGGGATTCTTTCCCTTAGCCCTCCCAAGGTCACATAGAAAGTGAGAGAGACACTTTGAACCCAGACTAATTTGGAACTCAAATGCAGGGTTTCACCATCCTCGTCAAGCCAAAATCTTCCTCATTCTAACCCCTGCCTATTGTGCCTAAGGCCCAGCTGAATGATACTAATCCTTCTCCTTGAGGCAGCTAAGTGGCACAGTGGATGGAGCACTGGGGCTGAAGTCGGGAAGATCCAAGTTCAAATCCAGCCTCAGATACTTCTTAGCTGTGTGACTGAGCAAATTGCTTAACCTCTAGTTTGCCTCAGTTTCCTCAACTAATAACAGTACCTTTCTTACAGGATTGTTGTGAGGAGCAAATAAGATAATATTTGTAAATTGCCTGGCATACAGTATGTTCTATATGAATGCTTATTCCTTTCTCACCCTTCTATATAACAGCCTTTCTGGTCCTTGAAGACAGTTCCTAGCCTTTTCTTTTTTTATCATAAATATCCCCAGTTCCTTCAAATGGTCCTCAAAGGGCTTTGTCTCCCTTGCCTTCACCATCTTCATTGCCCTCCTCTGAACTTTCTCCACTGTGTCAAAGCTCTAGCTACAATGCAGATCCCAGAATGTACCACAGTCATCTAGACGTGGTCTGACCTAGGCAGAAGATGGCAAGAATGTGATCTCCCTAATCTCTTCATTTACTCTGAGATTACATTAGCAATGAGCCAGAAGTCCATTAAACCCCTCAGATCTTTGGCACGTGAAGGGATACCCAGCCTACTTCCATTCCCCTTTCCCAACTCCATCATGGTTTTTGTGGAGTCACAAAAGTGCAGGACTTTATGTTTCTCCCTATTGAATTAGAGCTTGTTAGACTCGGCCCATCTTTACAGCTTGTCCAGACCTTTCTGCATCCTGATCCTATCATCCAACATGTCAGCTCATCTCTCTCTGCTTTGTATCAGCCGCAAATTTGATAACTAGGTCTGCATCCAAGCCTCTGATAAAGACGTTGAACAAATCAGGACCATGGACAGGTACAGGGAGGGGTTGCAGGACCGAGACCTCCACTTCAGACTACAGCTTCATAAAATTGAGAGCTGGGAGAGATTCTCCTAGAAATCATATAACCTAGTCCTTTGCTTTATAGATGAGGAAACTGAGGCCCTGAGAGGTACAATGGAAGGAAGTTTGGCATAAGAAAAATGATGAGTCATCTCGGAGTCAGGAAGACATGGGTTCAGATCCCATCTCAAATACTTGCTAGTTTCCCCCATCTGACAGGCAACAGATAGGGCACTAGTCCTGAAATCCAGAATATCTGGGTTCAAATATTGCCTCAGATGATCACTAGTTGTGTATCTCTGGAAAAGTCATTTAACACTTTTCAGCCTCAGTTTCTTAATCTATAAATTGGGACAATAACAACAACAACAACCTACCTACTAGAGCTGTTTGAAGATCACAGGAGACAATATATGCAAAGTATTTTGCAAACATTAAAGGAATACATACATTTTTAATTTCTTCTTATTATTAGGATCATAGAAGTTGAGCCAGAAGGGACTCTGAGGTCATTTGGCCCAACCCTCTCATTTTATAATTTAGGAAAATGCTGCCCAGAGATATTGAGTGATTTAGGATCATAGAATCATGTAGTTAGAGATGGAAAGGAACCCAAAGGTCATCTGGCCCAACTCCCTCATTTTACAAATGAGGAAACTAAATCCCTAAGAAGTTAGATGACTCAGGATCACAGAATTGTAGTTCTGAAGCTAGAAGAGGATTTGGAGGACATCTAAGCTTACACCTTCGTTTTACAGATGAGGAAACTGAGGTACAGAAAGGTTAAGTAACTTGCTCAAGGTCCCACAACTCATAAGTGCTAGCAGCAGGATTCACCCTCAGTTCTGA